AACACTTTAAAACTTAGAATGAAATTAATATTTTCATACTCACTTGATTATTAATATTGATTAACTAGGGCTAAGTAGTAAAATCCCCTAAATATGGGATGGACAATAACGTCAAGTTAAATAGCTTGTTCAGTGTTTTACAAGTAATAACCTAGTTGACAATATCTTTGCCAGATAAGTCCTCTTACAGATTGGAAAATAAAGAAATGGAGACTGCTATTTACCTGAACATAAGTAGGCCACCACATGATTATAATCAGAGAATTTTTAGCCCCTATTAAACAACTTCTATTTTCCAAATGGCTCAGTTATATAAATTTTATCCTTAATACCTGACATCCATTCCTGACTACTTACCATTTTGCCTTGAAGTTACTGAGGACAGAGATACAGTAAAGGAACAATGTTCTATAAACTCTCAAAAACCCTGAACGCATTTTGACATTTTTTATAAACTGTGACATTTTTCAGAGACTCCAGTTTTGTATCATTTCTTTTTTGTTACCCTTAGATGGAAACCAGTAAAACAGAATGATTATCAAGACTTTAGAATGAGATGACCATTTAAGTAAAACAGGGGTAAGAGCCATTTTCCATTTAAATGTACTATCAATATTTATGACACAGAAATGAACTTTTTCCTCTCTGAACCATAAAATAGCTCTATTCCCATAAACAATGCTTGTTTTTTTTATAGTGGGATATTTGAATTATAAAGTTCAGAACCTATCTTATGAAATTTAATTTTCCAATACAAACCTCATACTGGTCTGGTGAGTCTGAACAAGACCTAAGAAACAGAACCTAAGAATGAGTAATCACTATTACATGCTAAGCTGTTTTAGTGCAGATCAGGGTGTGGTAGTTAGGACACAACAAAGATATCTACATTTAGGTCACCAATACAACTCATAACTCTTTCAACATCAATCCTACCTAGCTAAGTTGCACCACGGTTGGTCAAAGTATACACCCAATGTAATTACAGTTATTGTTACTGACTAGCTAGTTAACTAAATTTTCTAGAGAAGCTTGTTTGCCTTCATATTAATGATATGATCTAAATACTGTGTTAGTTACCATGTTTTTAAGTTTAGACAATTAGTTGAGATTTTAACGTATACCTCAAAAATATCACAGACAGTTTTTATAACTGAACCCATAGGACAAGAGCGTTAATTTTGACATTTTTAAAAAGTTTAAGATCTAGAACACAATGGTGATCCTAGTTTGTAAAAAGACAGTCTGGTAAAGGTAATCCTTTCATTAGTATTATTAACATCTTTAAATAACAACAATATTATTAAATTTCTAGATGCTGTGAAAAAGAACATACATTTCCTTTCATCAAAGATGGCAGGGATAGAGGAAGAAAATCATTGATAGGCTAAGAATACATCAGGGAAAAAATGAGAAGGTATAATATAAACTAAAATACACACTCTGGTATTACTACTCTGCAGCATAGGTGACATTCAGGAACTGGTTTCCAGGGTGACATTCACATATACAACTTCAGAATTATCACTTCCCTAATGAATTCTGACTGCAGCTAAGGGATAGCCCAAATCCAGTAGAATGGTAAGGGATGTAGAGGTGGAAATACTTCTGATTACTTAGCTATCATTACACAGTAATTTATGTCTCACTCACTCAATGTAACATACCTTTGGTGGCCTATCTCATATACCTGGGGAGACTACACAGAGAAGAAAAAATTCAAGTTAAGGAATTTAATTAAAAAAACAACAATAACTATGTACTCTAGTACTTACTAGAACAATAAATTTCAGAATATACTAATTAGCATCCTATCTAAATTGGCTGCTTAATTTACCTTAAGGTATTCCAGAAATTCATTAACATGTATTTGTGATCAGTGAAGAATTTTCCATTTCCTGATCCCCCTTCATAAAATATAACAGCAATGTAAATCTATACTATCAGTTAAAAAGCATTGCTACTAAATGTCACTGACTGGTAAGTTATTGCCTACTAACCACCTGGAGTGTGAACTTCACAAGCACTTAATTCAGTAAAAAAAATTTTTTAATTTTTTAAGTAGAAACATATTTCAAGGTCATCTACTATCATAAAGTTGTATAAGAAACAATAGCAAAGCCTGGCAGTTATTATACACAGAGACTAAAATGTGGCAAGAAAAGCAGGTTGTGTCCAAATTTTCCTAGTTAAAGGGTACACTGATAGTCTTCCAGAAATCTAAGGACTATATTGAATTTTCAAGGGAAAAAAAAAGGAAGCAATCTTAAATGTATAACCTCTAGAACCAGGACGTTAAGTATCACTATCTTGACCTGTGCGCCTCATTTTTAGCTCATATGTATACAGTATTTTAGAGTTTACAAAGCCCTTTCTATGAAACAACCTTTTGAAGCAAGCAATGTATTATCATCACCATCTTATGAATAAGGAAACTGAAGCTTAAAGAAGGGAAGCAACAAGCAAGCTCAGTTACACAAGAAAGTGAAAAGGTCAGAACTTAAATCAAGACTTTGGACTCAGAATCCAGGCATCTTTTCAATATGTAAATGCCTTCTCAGCAATTAAAATAAAATAGGTCCTGTTCTCTCTCCCTCCATAGTTCTATACCAAGTAAGTAAACAGTAACAGGCTACACTCCATATTTTAGTGGCTAACTCTATAACAATAGCTACTCTACAGAATAGTTTTCATTAATCTCTGAAAACAACTATAAATCAATCTGGTTTAGATGGTTTACTATAACACCAAGGAATCTCTGCGATAAAATTTATCCATATTTTAACATTCAAGGATAATTGATGTATCACATATGGATTACAACATACATGTTACATAGTCACATATACCTTATAACATGAATATTACATAAATACTTCACGAAGGGTCTACCGCGGTGACACAGTCAACTGCTTTTCTCCCAATTCTAATTGAGGCAATAGCCTCAGGCACAACACTTTATGTAATCATAGCGACAAGTATCCTATTTAATTAGGCATTTATAAATTTGATCTATGGAACTATAAGTGTTATAAAGTTAAATTTTACAGAAATGAATAAATCTCCAGGAATTCATTTCAGCCATTAGTTATATAATATATGATACATACACACACATATCTCATGTGTGTGCAATAAATTTAAAAATGTGGTCATCTCAGAAAATCAGAAATCAGGAATCAGTTTTGGTCTTTTTTTCTTAAAAATACTAATTTCAAACCAAAGAGGAATGCCTGGAGAGGAGAGGTAATATTTTAGTGGTTTCAGGCAAGGAAAAAAAAACCCTGCTTTGGCCAACAGGCAACAAAAATAACAGTTAACAAGAAAAGTCCCAGGTTTTATAATTAAGAAACTCCTCCTCCCAATGAAAGTTAGCACCTTCTCTGCCTACAGCACTGAGAGGTTAAGGGACACACAAGGTCACACAGCCAGTATGTGTTACAGGCAGAATTTGAATCAATGATCCAGGCTGCCTCTTCATCCCTACTGTACATCACTGAAAGTGACAGAGGAATATAAAGATCCTTTTCAAAATTTCCTTGACTCATCAAAGGAGTTGAAGCAGATTATGTAATAAGGGTAAGTGTCTAGTATCCTACCTATCTCCCTCTATAGTTCCATATTCCCTTAGAAAAGAAGAAAATAACAGGATGACAGAACTAGAAAAGTCCTTTAAAGATCATGTGGTGCAACCACCTTATTTTGCAGATGGAAAAGCTAAGGTCCAGAAAGGCTGTCCCTTGCCTAAAGTTACATAGCTTGTTGGTAGCAAAGTTAGGACTAGAACCCAGTGTACTACAAAAAGAGAAAGAAGGAAAAGCCAGGGGAAACAGAAAGGAGGTGGGTGAAAATGAGTTCATGGACTAAGGGTTATTGAATGACATCAAGGAAATATGTCAAAGCAAAGGGAGATGAGGTGAAAAATTAAAAATCAAAAGAGGGAAGGAGGAAAAGGGGGAAAAAACAACTGAAGGAGGAAAAAAGGGAAAGAAGAGATATAGAAGAAAGAGAATAAAAAGAAACTAAACTATAAGAGGGGAAGAAAAGAAGGAAAGTGATAAAGTGGTAAAGTGAAGGGAGGAAAATATAAATGGGCAAAAAGAAATGGAAAAATGAGCTAGGTGGGTTTAAATTGAAGAAAGAAATTAGCAAAGAGCAAGTGATAGAAGAAAAGAATGGAAGAGGAAAAAAGTCACAGGAAACTATAATTGGGAAGGAAAATGTGGGAAAAAAAGTAGAAGGTAGCTAAAAACAGGAAAAATATGAAAAGATTAGAGGAAGGGGTGGAGCTTCTCAACTTCCAGCGCCCTCCCTCTCAAACTATTTTAAATTTAACTACTTCGCATTTTTTACTTTCTTTACATTTAGGGTTTCTACATAAACATATATGTACCTATATACCCCTCTCTCTCCTATTCCTACATACACACACATCCTATATCTATGCCGATACAGATAAGATAGATATCCTTGATTATTCCTCTATCAGAGAGTAAGCTCCTTTTTAAAGTAGGGATTGTTTCATAGTAAGCATTTAATACTTATGAATTATTTGGTAGAATAAGCTGTAAGATGAGGAAAGGAAGAAAAGGAAGGGAGAGAAAGTGAGGTTAAGTGTGAGAAAAAACAGAAATGGGAGGAGTGAAAAGGAAGAAGGAAGAAAGTGGATTAAGTGGGAGAAAAAAAACTTTAGCAAAGGATGAAAAGGAAGGAGACAAAACTATAAGTAGGGAAAAGGAGACAAAGAAGGAAGAATGGAGGAAGAAATATCAGTGAAAAAGAGGGCAGTGAAGTGAAAAGGAAAGAAAAGGGAGGGGATTAAGAGGGGGAAGGAAAATGTAAACGGAGGAGAGAAGAGAGAGCAGATCGGGTCTCATTTGTATGCCACCGTGGGAAGGAGGGGACGCGGCATGTGGGGTCAGGACGGGGTGAATGGGGATGGGGCAGCCGAGCGGGGCCGCGGGAGGCAGGGCCCGCCGGGGTCTGCGGGGGCTCCTTACGTGTTTGAGGCAGCGCTCTTTGAGCTTCTCCACCGTGGTATCCTCGGTGACCTCCTCCAGCCACTCGGTGCCTTCCATGGTGCAGATGTGAAGCCTCAGGACCTTCCTGGCGAAGATCTTCTCCTCCTGCACGAACATCGCCGCCCTCCTTCGGCGCCCGGCTGCGCCCGGGCCTCCCTAGCCTCAGTCTCCCTCGGCCTCAGCCGCCCGCCGCCGCTGCAGCCTCACACAGTCCGCTTCAGCCGCCTCGGGCCGGGGGGCTCGCGGCCCATGAAGGTCACCGCGGGCGGAGGAGCGAGAGAAGCAGAAAGGTTAGTCCCCAGAGACCCCGGTGCCGGCCCCGACCCCAGCTCCGGCCCCGTAGCGACCTGTCACTCGCCGCCCTGGGCCCGCAGCCGTCGCTCTGGCTCGCTACCCGCCGCTGCCGCCGCACGCCGGAAGTGCGGGAGGAGGTGCGCCCCGGGGCATACTGGGAGTTGTAGGCCCAGCTGAGCCTAGCCTCAAAGAGATCCGGCTGACCTCGTTGGATGAGATTTATAACTGGAAGAGACCTAAGAATACAGAAAGAATATCAGGGCTGAGAGACCTCAGAACATGAAGTATAAAACTTTAGGGCTGGAAGGGAACTTTGAAATAAATAATATCATTTTGCAGATAAAGAAACTGAAACGCAAGGGGAAAGGGACTTGCCCAAGTTCACAAGGCTAATTCTGTTGGAAGAGGAGGAGACTCTGACCCAGTCCCTGTTTAGACTCCCCTTGGAGCTGTCCAGTTCTGAAAGTAATCATTTAGAACGGGACGGCATTTGCTGGGGTGACCTTAAGAGAGACACTTCAATAGGATTCAACTCAATTTAGTTAGTGTTTGTTATGGACAAAGTGTTATCCTAGATACTGAGGATACAAAGACAAAACAACAACACAACAAACAGTCCTTATGCTGAAAGAGCTTACATTCTACTGGGAAGATACAATATGTATACAAGTAAGTAAACGCAAACTATTATCAAAGTAATTTAGAGAATGAGAGAGTGCAAATAAGTAGGTTGAATGGGGAAGGCCTTTAAAAGATGGCACCTGAACTGCTCTTTGGAAAGGAAGCTAGGGAATTTGAAGAGGAGATGGAAGGAGGGCATTCCAGACATGGGAAGGCCATTTATGGAAAAACCTAGAAATGCATGTTGAAATGTGTGGGGACCAAGTATTAAGTGGCTAGATAGAGCATCTTTTAAGCACTTATGTGCCAGGCACTCCAGTAAATACTAGGGATACAATTACAGGTATGTTTTTGTTGGGGATTGTGGAGGAAATGGATAAAACCTGAGTGCTGTAAATTTGGGGAAAACGTCTCCCCAGAAAAAGTAGCTTTCGAGGTTAAAGGGAGCTACCGGAGTGTGTAAATACAGACACTTATTCTATATTTTACTCAACAAGATAAGCCCATTAATTCTATCTGGAAGGAGGTCTTCACTATCTTGGAGACCTCCAGTCCCATTCTGATAGGATTAACTACCAGAATAAACACGATCTTTGGTAAATCCTCAGACAACAAGTCATGGCTGACTCTTCTTGACCCCATTTTTTGGGGATTTTCTTGGCAAAGATTTGATTTTACAGCTGAGAAACTGAGGTAAACAAGGCTAAGTGATTTGTCTAGGGTTACACAGCTAGCAAGCAGCTGAAACCAGGTTTGAATTCACAAAGATGAGTCTTACTGGTTCCAAGCCCAGTGTTCTATCCACTGCATCACCTAGCTGCCCAGGAAACAAAGTTTACAAATCCAAACTCCATTTAAAACATCACTTCCCCCCAAATCACCTGACATCCTGTCCCTATTATTCAATAAGAAAATACCTAAGTAACCTCAGCTAAGAGATTCCTTTTGCCCCTTGCCTTAAGGCTGGGTAAAGTCCTGTGTATGTATGTATGTATGTATGTATGCATGCATGTATCTCCCTTGGTTCTGTTACTAGTCACCTATCAACTGCCCACCAGCTGCTGATAATGAAACCTTTTATCTTGCCTCTTGATTTATAAACTTTCAGTCAAACAGTCCAAAGTGGGAGGAACTACTTCCCAAGAGCATCTTAGGATCTTTGGGCTAAGTAATTCCTCAATAAGATACAAGTATGACATGTTTTTGCTTTGACTGACTGCTGTCTCTACCCTCAAAGAGCTTACATTCTATGGAGGGAAGACAACACGTAAAGGGGAGCCACAGAGTTGGGAGGGGGTACCAGATCAATTGCCTATCTCCTTCTGCTGGAAAGAAAGTGAAGTTTAGAGAGTGAGTGAAGAGAACATGGCCTGAGCCTCTCATAAAACGGTAATCTTGGCTAGAGACTCACCATTCAGAAGAGCAGAACTCCAGGCAGAGGTATCTTCAGGGTAGGAAGGCAGTTATCAAGGGGGTTGAGAAGTTAGAAGCCTGGACATTGAGTGGGCCTCAAGGTAGACTGCTATGGTCAAGGCACTTTGCCCTAGCTCAGAGGAGGCCAGTGTTCCTTCTCCTTTGACAAACATACAGCATGATACTTGACAGTTCAGGGCCCAATTTGCAGTAACTCCAAGGTTATTAGAGAGTTAATGCGCATAACTGTTCTTTAAAATAAAGTACCATTAGGTAGTTCTCAAGAGATCATCCTGGCCTTTGCATTCCTTTTCTCTACCAAAGGCCTGCTTGCTGATAGTCATTGGGGATAGAAGGCAATAAACGACAAATGGACCCTGTCCTCAAGGCATATTTTACTGGGAAAAGACAAAATATACACAGATATGTAAAGAAAAGGTACTTTGAAGATGGAAAGAAAGTGATATAAATGAGGAAATCTGGGGAAGCTTCAAAAAGGAAGATGCACCTTAAATTAGCCTTGGAGCAAGTGAATTGTAAGAAGGCAGTGCATTCCAGGCATAAGAGATAGTGGAGACAAAACCCAGGAGAAAGCATGTCAACTTTGGGGAACAGATGGGGTGGGGGGAGAATTTAGAACTCAAAAATTTTTAAATGAATGTTAAAAATTGTTTTTAAGTGTAATTGACAACAATACTTATTTTTAAAAAAAAAGTTTGAGGAACAGCTAACATTCCGGTTTGGTAGGAAAATAGAATATATGAAGAAGAGAAATATGAAATGAAACTGGAAGGATAGGTGAAAGCCAGATGGGGAGGAGAATTAAATGCCAAGCTGAGGAATTTGTGTTTTATCCTAAAAGCAACAAGATTTTTGAATGGGGGAATGACATAGCCAGACCTGCTTTTAGAAAAGTTTTGGAAAGAAAAAAAAAAGTTCACTGTAGAAAAGCTGCCTTCCAGCTCTGACTTACTTTAAGGTTCCTTTTCAGTTATGACATTCTGTATCCTAAGGCCCTTTCAGCTCTAACATTCTGTGTTCTAAGGCCCTTCCAGCTCTGATATTCTGTGCTCTCAAAATCCCTCTCTCTGACATTTGACAATTCTATCAAGGGGAAGAGGAAAAGAACTGACCACAGAAGTATCATTTCCTTGGATATCCCTGTCCCTCTTCTCCCTGTTCCTCCTCTTTTTTTGGAACTTGATCTGAGCTTCAACTAGCTTGGGACAGGAGAGAGGGAGAGAAATGGGACAGAAAGGTAGAGGTGGCTTTTGGTTCTAGCTTCTATGCTGAGCAAGCTATAGTGGCTGAAGACAGGTTTCAGTTTCCAGGACAGCAGCCTGGCTTTGTGCCCCAGCACCAAGAGTTCCCTTGAAAGAAAAGGAATCTGTCCTTGGCATTTTCTGTGGAGGAGATCAAGTGAGGGTATTAGTTTTGCTTCCTATGTTTCATTCTATGAAACAATTGGGAAAAAAAAGAATACTAGTCCTTGAGCCCACCCCACCTGATTCAGAAGGATTTCCCCCTGACTTTGGGGAAACAGGTTTTATTTAATGTTAATGTCCTAAATGGGCTCCTGCTGATTGCCAGGGTATCTACATTTACACAGCATTTAGAGAAGAGAAATTCAGATAATGGAATCTCAGAGCTTTAAGGTTTCATAAAGATCCTGCAGTCCACTGCCTTCAATTTATAAATGAGGAAATTAACACACTGAGAAGTGCCTTTCCCAAGGACACAGACTCTCAAAAGTGGAAGGGACCCAGAGGTTAGCTTGGGGGAAGCCCCTCTGTGACATTCAATCCTATAGACCTCCCAGACATGGGAACTAACTGCCTCTTGTGATCGTCTATTCTGATCTTAGACAGCTCTGATTAGTAGGAAGTTTTTCCTTTCATGGAGCCTAATCAAATCTGCCTCTGCAGCTTCCAGAGTCACACAGTTATCAGCACAGTTGGAAGCAGGACCTCAGTCTCCAGGCCTCTTTATACTACCCCACAGATTGCAAGTCAGTTTTCCAATTTCTTTAATCCTGGTTTGATATCCAGGAGAAATCCATCACTGAGGAAGATCTAAGTGCTCCTTTAAGTCCCCAGTTGCCAAGCAGATATGAGTCTTGAGGGAGACTTTGACTTTATAAAATCTCCCAGAACCAAGGCCCATCATGGAATTCCCAAAGGTACCAGAGAGCTTTAATCTTGAAAAAAACAATTCCCTCAACTCTAAACAGGATAGACCAGGGACTTCAGATGACATGTTGTAGAACTGAACTTCAGAACCTCTTTTCACATCCCCAAAGGAGCTAGAAGCTCTCTCTTGTCACCATTCCAGAGAAGTGGAGGGGATGGAGATGGTGGGAACAGATGGCTCAGCAGAGCTTCAGAACTCAAGCCCTAAGTGCCACTGATTAATTAATGGAAGCATAGTACTTTGAAGATGAAAGTGCAGGGAAGGTATTTTTAAAAAGATCTGGTGCTAAGGTTGGACCTCTCTCTCCTCTGCTGTCTCCTGGGGGAACAGAGCAGATTTGCAAAAAACGCAAGTAACTTAGTAAAGTTTCCAGAGAGCTGTGGAAAATTGTGGAAAATGGTTAACTTGGCCACTAGAGGGGAATGGTGAGCTGCAGATTGAGAGAGAGGGGGTGGTGAAGAAGAGAAGGCAAGACAGGGAAGGAGAGAGATGGCAACACAGGGAGAGAGTGAAGAGGGGAAAGGGAGAGGAGAGGGAGAGAGAGAGAGACCGAGAGAGAGAGAGAGAGAGAGAGAGAGAGAGAAAAGACAGAGAGAAGACAGAAAGAGAGAAGAGAGGTGAGACAGAGAGACAGAGAGAGATGAGAGACAGAGACAGAAACAAAGGTGTTAAAAA